CTCATAGATCTCCTTTGGAACGTCCACCGAGCCATCAGCCTTTGGGGTGCACATTCTCCGAAGAGTGGCATCCAGCCGAGCCTTTTCCTTCTTATCCTCCAGATCAACTGGAATTTTTGGCTGACGGGCTGCCACTTGACAAGTGTTCACCCTAGCTGGCTGCGGAGCGGTTGCTTCTTTGGTGTGCTGGGGCATGTCCTCCACATCAACCTTTGAAGGTGACCGCATTGCGCCAATGAGTTCGGCCAAATAGCCATGAACATCACTTCCCTCATCGTCTTCAGGAAGCATGTACTCATCCACCGTCGCAGCGTCATGTTCACCAAAAAGCATCTGCTCGGTCACCTCACCCTCAAACAGCTCAGAGGTCGGGCGGTCAGGTCCCAGATTCTCAAGACTGCCTGGAATAGTTTCCGCACCCCAAATCGACGCACTGTCCGTGACGTCCTCAACTCGGAAGAGTTCCTCTTCGCTCCAATAGATCTCATATGGCTGTACATTCGGCTGACGGTCGCCATCACCATCTTGCTGAGATTGAGAAACAGGCTCATACACCTGATAAAGAGGGACCTCCGGCGCTGGCAACTCATCTGCTGGAGGCGTATGGTCAGGCGACGGAACCGCTGGGTGCGAATCTTCAGGCACACGCACAGGTGAAGCCTCTGGAGCCCCATCTACATGCTCCACCACCTTCGCTTGTGGAGTGGCTTGCTGCCTCATCCGTGCACGCTCTAGCTCATCCAATTCTTTCTGCGCTTCCTTGACACAAGCGTGCAAAAAAACATGACAGATATTGGAATGCGCATGCATGACTGCGCGCACGCATTACCCTACAGCATGTGCAAGAAGAGTGCAGCCAAATTTCAGCCAGCAGTTTGTCGTCCACCTCTCCCAAATCCTCCAGCTTCACACCGCCAGCATCCAAGAAGGACACACCAGCAAGCAAAGTCTCAGCTGAGGTACCTTCAGCTGGCATGGCCACAGCGGTACCTGGACTTGCTGAAGCCACCTGTTGTTAGAGCCACAAGCTGATGGCAGCAACTTGACATGTTACATTCACGCCGTGCATGTCAGAAGCATCCTCCCTCACAAAACAACATGAGACGCGCGCAGCGTGCACCTGAAAGTGAAAGTGGCAATTATTTTTTGGTAAATTCCAAAAGTAGAAAACCTACGGTTTTTTACGCAACTTTACGCTTTTTTACGCCACTTTACGGTTTGTTTTTTTCAACCCCAAAGTGAAAGTGGCAGTTTATGTTTTCCTCAGAGCGTTCAAACGTATATGTTTGCATACACCATTGGAAGATGCAGCTTGGAACTGCGCCTCAAGTATTCCATACAGGGCTCCAAATTCGCCAACCATTCTTCAAAGTCTACTGATGGATTTTCCATCAAATGGTGTGACTGAATGGTGGCAGGTGTCACACGTGCATTCTTCACCTCCGCCTTTTGGGAGATGAGGTCGAAGTAAAGCTTGGCAAAGCGCAGGCCAAATCCAATCGGGTATTGCCTGAGGCCAGCGCGCGAACTATCCACGTGAGCAGTTGTACACGCAGACATGCCGAGCTAAGTTTCGGGCTGTGACATTTTCAGGTTCTTGTTTCCAGTCCATGACCTCTTGCCATCTTTCGTGATCTTCACATTGACCAGGGCAACCACTTTCATCTTTGAGCGCTGAAGCTTACCTGTCACAAAGCCACCAATGCCATACTTGTTGCTCCACAAGCTGGACCTCTTCGGAGTAGGGCTCCCGTAGCTCATCATCCAAAAGTCGCATCCTCAACGTGCGAGATCTAAACCTTTAAACATGCGTTCATGAAGCATGGGAAATATTCTAGTAGCCATGGATGCCTTAGACATCACGCCATGCCATATTACAGATATGCAACCAATGCGCCCAAGCATCTCCACATGCGCATTCTCTCACACACAGCTTGGAAGGCAGGGTGCCTGTACAGCAACGGGGACCTGGGCTGCTCCACAGTGAACGCGCCGCCGCAGGCTTGAATCACAAGCAACAGGCAGCACATCTTCCCAACCATTTCGTTGGCATTGACCACTGTGGGAAGCTCCGTGTCGCCCAGCGGCGCCCAGAAGCTCCGACGGCAACTCCCTTGGCTTATTGCAACCCATGTGGAGCAAACGATGCCAAAGTGAATGAGAAATGCACCTTCCCTTGAAGACAGGATGGCGGCGAGCATCAACCTTAGGACAGCGCAAAGCATGAATGAACAATGGAAATGAGCTCCATGTATGCATGCACTGACAAGTAAAAGGGCCGAGAAGCAAAAATCCAGCTGGTTCCAGTAGGTCACATGGATTGGTTTTGCCAACCTTCTTTCCTCTGCTCTTGCGCTCTTTGGCCGCCTCCTCCCAATAGACAATGTCGATCGCCCTGGATTTGAGACCAAGCTTCCTCAGCGTCCTGTGGATGACTGCGTGTCCAGCAAAAGATTCAATCACCTCGTACCCGGCTCCAAAGTTGATGCCGGATGTGTGGGCCAGAAGGACCACCAAATATAGCAAAGCCTGAAATGGCCAAAGGCAGCAAGCTCATGCGCACGTGCATTCTGCAACAAGTGACATTAGACATATAGGTGCGTGTTGAGGGGCCCCAGGTGCTCTCATGGCATACAGGTTCTTCAATATGCGTTGCAGCCGCTCTTGCTCCATGTGGCCACGCAACGAAACTATGGAAGGGACAAACGTTCCTAAATGTTTGGGCTTGAAAGTTTATGTGCATGCATGGGCGCTGCAAGCTGCAAGTGCAAGCCTCACGCCTATAAGGAAACCACACTGCAACAGCTCACATGGGCGGCGCACTTCCCCGCTTCACCCCACGTAGTTCCCAGTGGCGAGGCATTGGTGATGGCCGCCTGCCAGCGCGAGGGCCACACACACACCGAACATGATGCATCGAGTATTATATATATATATTATATAATTTTTACATTCGCAATTGTTGTATTCATGTAAGTTATACATCATCGTACATCATGCATACAATTTAAGAATATATATGGTATTCATGTAAACTATCCATGCAACCCCTATTTTAATATTTCACATGCATGTTTGTATAAATATACATATCTATAGATATCATGTATACATGAGCATGACATGTCCCATGCATGGACATGAGACGCACCCAGATGCATGCAAGCTTTTTCTCCAAGTCACAAGTGCACGGTCAGCGGTTTGTCACGTGATATCTCGAGTTCACGCTTCACGCTTGGACTCATCCTTCTTTGCCTTCTTGGCTGCCTTCGTCTTCTTCATTGGGCTTTTCTTCTTGGCTGCCTTCTTTGGGGTCTTCTTCATCGGGCTTTTCTTCGCGCGAGGTTTGTACTTGGGGTTACGACAAGTGCTGCAACCCTTTGCACTGTAGTAGCAGCGCCCACAGCCAAACTTTTTCTCAAAAGGCGCAAGATCTTTGCGCTCCAAGACTTCCTTCGGGTCTGATGCACCAGTTTTGGCATCTGACTTAGGCTTTGGTTTGCGTGGACCAGCCTTGCTCCGATCCTCAGCCTCAGCATTGTCCTCTTCTTTACTCTGGCCACGATTCTTTTTTTTTGACTTCTCTGGCTTTTCTTCGTCCTTTCTTGCCTTCTTTTTCTTTTTGCCATCTCCTGCACCTCTTCCTCTTGCACGTCCTCTTCCTCTCCCACGACCCTTGGTCATGTTTTCTTTTGCCGACTTGCGCAATTTCTTTTGTTCTTCCGGAGTGACTTCAGGAGCCGCAAGAGCCTTGGCAGACGATTCTTCTTCAGCTTCCCGAACTCCAGGCGCGGGAAGAGTCTTTGGCTGCTTCTTCTTCCGTGCCTAGCGAACAAGGGCAAGTCATACATGAAACGTGCAACTTTGGTAAATCATGTGGTATCATATGCTAGAGGCGTGATCATGTGCCACATGGAGGCAAGATGATGCATGATATCATGAATATGGAGCATGGCATGCCTTCTCCGCAAAATACATCCTTTCAGAAGTGCATGGAGGAGGAGACGGTGAAAGCACAACCGCTTCTGGTGAATAGGGCAGTGTATCCTGCACAAAGCACATGCATGACATATAGCGTGTCATGTAACACGTCCAACCGCTGCATGCCTGCATGTCAGGTGGTGCTGCCTCCGCGGCGGCCGCTGGAGCCACAGAGGAAGAAGCAGAAGGACCTCAGAAACGAGACCATGCCACGTTCATGAAAGCACGCTGCGCACATGCATCGAAAGACATGGAAACAGACACTTTTGCACAACAACCCATCATTATCCCAAGGAGCGTAAGCTAGCAATCCTGTTCACGATCCGCAGCAATTGGAGCTTTCTCTTGGTAGGCGATGACATCTTCATTGATGTGATCTCAACAGCTTCAGCCTCCCCACTCTCTGCATCCTTGTCCACTTTGGAGAACTCTTCGTCAAGGTTCCTCTTTGCTGATGCGCTGCTAGAGGTCTTCTTCTCCACAGCTTCCTCCCCCCCCGCATCCTCACCTTTGCCCTTCGCACGATCCTCCTCCTCCTCCTTCTCCTCCTCCTCCTCACTGGACTTGTCACTTTCCTCAGACGCCGATTCATCGGCTGGAGACATCTCAGCGTCATCCTCTGCAGGCTTTTCTTCTTCACCACCTTCACCAGCTGGAAAATCTTCAACATCAGAAGAGTTCTCATCCTCCATGTCCATGTCCTCTTCCAACTCAAGCGTGGATGATGGGTTCTTGGAAATCTCTGCGTTGATAAATTCAAACAGCTTCTTGATCTTCTCATTCTTAGCAGCAAGATAGTCAAAGCATGCAACATTCATGTCAGCACATGGTCACGTATAGTTCATGCCAAGAAACTCGCGGGGTTTGATGACGCTTGCTGCAATCCTTTGCACGTCGGACAATGAAGGAGTACAAGCTCCTGATCCTCCATGCATCTTTGTGCACGATGTCCTGGGTTATGTTGACCCAAGCCAAAGAGCGATACATCTTGGTCACCTAGCCGGAGCAGTGCACGGCACATGCATGAGCAAGACAGCAATCCATTGTACAACAACGGCACGCCACTCAAGTGAAAAGAACAGCGCGCCTCTTTTTTCAACCAATTAACCGGAATAGCTTTTCCAGGAACTCCAAATTGTCGAACCACGCAGCTGGCAATGGAGAGGTTGGCCTCCAAAACCTTGGTGGTCATGTTCTTGCCTTTTCCTGCTTGAAACCAAGCGCTTCCATTCTCTTGTCGCGAAAGGGTTTTTTTTCAACCCTGCCCACGCTTTACTTAGCTTCCCCATGAGCGCTACATATCAAAATTGAACCAAAACACTGCGTGTCCAACATGCTATAATAATGCTGCCCAGGTCGTGAAAATATGCCTGATAAAGGCAACATAATTGTACACCATGCTATGACATGTGTGGCCATGCTCATGGCAGTGATATATTCCAGGTATATCGTGACCCATGAGCCATCATGTCCCCTATATATATATATTATGATTTCTATTATGACTCATGACTCGTATGGTTATAGTCTTAGTCAATCATGGCCTACGTGATATGCAATTGCGCATGACACATGAAGCATGGCAACAAATACATGTGGCGTGACTATGCACCATGACCATGACAGTTCATGACCATGACATTTCACACGCGTGACAACTCATGAGCGTGACATATTTTATAGCAAACCCATGACCATGCATCCATGAAGACTCATGCATCATCATCTTGATCGCGCGCGCGCGCGTTCCCCGGCCCCTCCCTGCCTTCTCCTGAAATCGCGGGCGTTGAGCTGCAGCGCCGCGAGCCTGCAGTACTAGAAGCGTTCAAAAGCAACAAAGACACACGGTGACAAAGGACGCACATGTTGCAGCATGCATGCAGCTTGCAAGTCATTTTGCACAAGCGCACGCACTCTGCAGGTCTGTCATCATCCATCTTGAGCTTCCTCACTCGTAGTATTCGAGTTGCGCCTCCTCCGACGGCGGTCTCGATCTTTCTTTTTTGAGCGGTGACTTCCCGGGGCGGCTTCTGGCTCTGGCTCACGTTCACGACGTCGCCTGCGACCTTGAGATTTTTCGGAGGGAAGAGGTCGGTCAGGATGATCATGGCGAGCTCCTTCAGAGCGTGAAGCTCGTTCTGGGCGTTGAGATCGTTCAGGAAGAGCCTCCGCCTCTGGACGTGAAGCTGCGGCTTCGGGAGGAGGGCTTCGGCTTCTATCATCATGTGCAGTCTCCCCAGAAGGCGCTTCAACTGCAGCATGACTTGCAAGCTCTTCAGGTACAGGAGCAGGGGCAGAAATTTTGGCAGTGGTGGCTGCAGGTATCACCTCAGCTGCTTTTGCCATTGTTGCAGGTGCAGATGGAGGTCTGACCTTGGGCTTCGGAGGCACCACTGCTGGAGCTTTTGATTTGGCGGGAGGAGCTGCAGATGATTTCTTCACTGGCGGTGGAGGCGGGTTCAAGTTCATTTTCTTCCATACTGTTGTCTGAGTCTCATTCTCATCCTCGCTTTCTTCTGGCACAGTCTCCAAGGACTCGTCTTCGCTCTTCCCTTTCCCATCACCATGCCAACCATTGCCTCCGCTCCATGAGGCATTCTGGCGATTCCAGCCCCAGCCATTGTCGCTCCAGCCATTGTGGCGCCAGCCATTGTCGCGCCAGTCATTGTTGCCCCAGCCACTCCAATTGCCCCAGCTGTCATCCCACCATGAGTGCTGTTGCAGCCACCCTGAGATGTATACCCACGACATTTTGTGCGGCTTGACACCCTTGAGCCCAAAATGTATTAAGCAAGCACGCATGCAATCTTATATGCTCATGTCTATGCAGGCATGTCATGTCTTCATGTTTTGCCCATGCTTGACATGTATATATATATATATGCACGCATGTCTTCGCCCACCACCCACCATCCTTGTATCGTTTGTGTTCCTGGCCTCCAGGAGTGCAACTGCAGCGGCGCTCATGGAGGATGCCATCACGCATGGCCCATGATCATGCAAACATGCATGCACATGAAGCATGCAACATGAAACAAGAACACATGAGTCCATCGATGAGTATACATGCATGGATGTTCCATGATGCAGCAATCACAAGTAGCAATTCCTATACATCAAACATGCGCTCATGTTAACATCATGCATGAAAACTGACCTGAGCCATCATGGACTGTGAGCGGTGGAAAAGTGACGCATTGTTTTGGTCATGGCATGAAAGTGGCACTTCAAACCCTGCAACATATCCCTACATCCCCCAAAGTGGAAAGTGGCAAGAATAGTTGCCACTTTAAAGTTGCATGGTTTTTTTGCCACTTCGGCGGTCCAGGTACTATGTATATAGTTGTTTACCTCTTTTTCTTTTGTTCTCCCGCGAACAAAGACATACATTCAAACGCATTCATACAATAGAGAGAGAGAGAAATGTTGACTGTTTAGGTTTCTAGATCTTGGATATGAGTGTATGTCGCAATGTCGCTCCTGGCCTTTTGGGCTCAAGATTGGCAAGCTGCCCACACATGTTTCGCATGAACTAGCATTTGCCCATGAATTTCCCAAAGAGCGAAGGCAACGAAGGCGAGCTCAAAAAGGAAGAGCAGGAGGACGAGAAGGTGAAGCTGGAGGACTCTGAGGGCACGCCTGGTCGCGCCACTTCACGGGCACAGCCCAAGCTGCTTCGGCGGGTGATTGTGAAAACGGCCAAAGAAGCTGCGTTTGAAAAGAAATTGCTGGAAAACACCGCTCGCTTCCAGAGAGGGATGGCCTTCCACCTCAACTGGATGTTGAAGAAATTGAAGGAGGAAGAGCTGGAACTCAGAAAGAAGGCAATGAGAAAGAAGACGGAAACGGCAAAGTCACTGAAGACACCAAGACCACCCAAAGCAGCAAATGGCCCGAAAGCGACAGAAACAGGAACAGAGGGAGTTCGCACGCCTTCCACTTCCAACCCTTCGGGCCCTTCGGGCCCTTCGAAGTGCTTTCCGGTCTTTGATCCATCAACTCCACCTATGAGAAGCGCCCAGCGCGAACCAGACCCACTTGCCCATTTTGCCAGCCCGATGTCGCCACTTGAGCTGAGTGATGCTGAAACAATTCACAGTTCCACTGTCAAGGAGCCGTATTCGTCCTCACACAGCTTTGATGAGGTGGTGTCCTGGTCCGCATCAACGACAAGGAGTGGAAGATGGACAAGATGGGCAAGACAGGATGGCGAAGATTTCGAAGACTACGAAGAACTCACATAAGGAAGGATTGTTTTTATTTAGTAGGTTGCAGGCCATCGCTATTAGGAACAATTTAAATGCAATACAATTCAATCATCCTTTATCGCTTTTCGCCCAAGGAGGCAGCAAGGCAGCCACGTGCGGAGATTTCCAACAAGTCTAGAACAATTCAGTGGCTGCAATCTCAATTCATGTGGGAGGGTTGGCCATTTCTGACAGCCACCCATGCACCTCAGCCCGTTTCTTTCGTGCTACCTTTGGCCTGGATTGATCGGTATCAAATTTAAAAAGAAGCGGATCTGATTTAGTTTGACAACGTCGCGCCCATCACACGTGGCCTGTCATCTCATGTCCCTGCAGTGAAGTTGTGGTTCAGCATGTTCGAGCATGTATTCCTATTTGAGGCGGCAATCTTGAATGGCACCTTCATGTAGCTAAACAACTCTGACCATAACCAATTGGAAAGACAGACCAAGCAGGAGCCTTGAGGCTGAGGTCATCTAATGTCATTTACAGTCGAAGCTGTGGACAGAAAGTGTTGCTAGCAAGCTCCTTGCTTGTAGATGCGCCCCTCCAATGGCACAGAATGTCTAGGACAAAAGGCCTTGAAAAGCCAAGTGAACTAGGAGCAAGTAGCTGTTTGATTCAAGCTCGTAGTCGTAGATGTCATGTAGGACTGTGAGGCATTTGCAACAGTGTCCCCATTCAAACTCCCAACCCACAAACGTGACAGGCATCCATTGCTGCCCGGCGAGCTGGTCTGATGGATGCGTAGCTGGGCTGTGCCGTGCTCCGACTCCTAATGGCAAACTAGTAGCGTCCTTGCTCCTAGTAGTAAGGCCAGGAGCCCCTAGTAGTGTTCTTGCTCCTAGAAGCAATTTATATTCGACCATTCTTCCTTTTATGTGTTCTTTGTTTCTAGTAGCGACGGCCTCCACCCTAATAGTGATGGTGATGGCCTCCAACCTGAGAGTGTCCATTAGGTCGAAATGTGCAAAGTCGCATCACGGAGCACGCGCTAGAGAGCTACTGTAGTAGGCCCAACATTTGTACCTTGTGAGCTGTTCTTGGTACACTGTCAATGGGGTTGTGGTAGCTGCCCTTTTCGAAGCACAGAAAGAAAGATGGAAGACCCCAACAAGACAGTTCCCTTGTAAAAGGTCAAGGGATTGTTATGCTGTGAGCGACCCAGAGCCTAATCGAACCTGCCCCAAAGGCATCATCTAAGTTCGTGTCCTACGTCTCCAATTCATGCGGCGCATCTTTGGTTTCACTAACCCAATCGTTTCAAGATGTGACGCACAATCGAGTTCGATCAAGTTCAAAGCCATGCTCTGCGCAAAGGCACCAAAGGCACAGCGGAGGAAGCATATTCAGACTAAGCACATAGTCCACATAGTCATAGTCCACATAGTCACAATTAGTAGTAACAATGAGCTACTAGGAACTAGTGCATCGCTTCTAGTAACAAGTGCCTTTCTAGTAGTAACAAGAAGCTAGTAGAAACAATATACATGTTTTCTCGATGTCCAGCAGGTTGCCTCCTTCCGTGATCTCAACGTTGAGGTGATCCTCTCAGCTCTGGAGTTGCGGGCAGTGCTTTGTGGAGTTTTTTGAGTAGCGATGCCAGGAGCCCCTAGTAGCGGCCTTGCTCTTAGTAGTAAGGCCAGGAGCCCCTAGTAGCGTTCTTGCTCCTAGTAGCGATGCCAGGAGCCCCTAGTAGCGTCCTTGCTCCTAGTAGCGATGCCAGGAGCCCCTAGTAGCGTCCTTGCGTAAGGCCAGGAGCCCCTAGTAGCGTCCTTGCTCCTAGTAGCGATGCCAGGAGCCCTTAGTAGCGTCCTTGCTCCTAGTAGTAAGGCCAAGAGCCCCTAGTAGCGTCCTTGCTCTTAGTAGTAAGGCCAGGAGCCCC